TTGAACACAGCATACAGTTGTCGGCGGATATATATCGCACTATCTGTTGGAAAAGTCCCGGATATGCGGTCAGAGCTCATCGGAAAGGAATTACCATATATTCTACCAGATGTGCGCCGGACTGCCGGCCCAGACGTACGCCAAACTGAAACTGTCGTCTCCGGTGTGGAAAGTGATGGACTTGTCTCCGACGTGAGTCATAAAGTCAAGTTTTGTCAGCCTGTCAGTTGAGTTGCGATTGGCGTTTAGGTCGCTAGTATACTCGCTGCCACGCGAGTTGCTGGGCTAGCATGACGATATCAAAGACTTTAAGGCAACCGACGAAGCGTTGGCCCACTTCGGGGTCAGCGAAGCCGACCGACTGGCCATTTACCGTATTGTGGCCGCAGTTTTGCACCTTGGTAATATTTGCTTCGAGGACAGCGCCGAAGACTCGAAAGGTATGGCAAATATTTTACATATTTTGATGATAAATGAAATGTTTTTGTTGTGTTTTACGTCTTTCCTCTCCTCATCCCAACGGAAAAAGTCTATTAATTATGACTTTTTAAGGATTAAATCAGCAAAAAATGTGTCTATTGTGTCAAATGTCTCCGAAAACCTCTGAAATCCTGCTGTAATTGATTATCACAAATGATTGATTAACTGTTAAAACTTATAACGTGTTAAAAATTTTCACTTACAAAACTAAACTCTCGATTAATTTTGCTTAAAAACTAACACTAATTTTCGTGATTTTTGCAAATTAACAGCAAAATAAAACTTATTAACAGATTATGTCTGTAACGAAAAAATCCGTCTCTATTTTTGTTGCTATTTCTTACTTTGAAATAATTTTCTCTCAACAAAAACAACTAAAAATTGAAACAAAAAACTAAAACTTTCGCAAAACTCTTATCCAAATTATGCTTTTTTAATGAGCACTACGTTTGCCATAACAAGTGGTGATTCATTTCATTAACAAAATAGCAATAAATAAAACCAAAACTTTCCTAATTATCATTGTTGTGTTATTTTCCATAACTAATATCAACTAATATTTTTAACAAACATTTTCGTATTCAATGATAATTTAGATTAATTGCATGAATTGTTTTTACTTTTTTCTCTCTATTCTCTCTATAGAT